TTGGGAATAGCTGTATCTACGCGTCAATGGATTATAGAAAAGTCGCTCGAAATAGTAAACGATGTAAATAACTATACACCGTTACATTTAATTATGATTAATGCTATTTGCGATAAACAATGCACGGACATGGAAGAAATTGCTGGGTTAGCTGAAGCCCATCTTCCTAACGGATTACAATTGGGAAAATATTTCCGGTCGAAGATTACTTCGCCAGGATCACAACACGTGGTGCCGACACTTTACGGGATACCTAAAATACATAAGGAACCCGTCAAGATGCGGCCCATTATACCTTGCCACTCAGCGATCCAAAATCCGGCTGCTAAATACGTGTCAAAAATTCTTAAACCGATTGTCAAATCGGCGCCAACCATTTTACATGGATCTAAAGACTTGGCGCAAAAATTAAGTCAGATTAAACTAGACAGAACCCGTAAAGTATTTATCGTTACGGGCGACGTTGTCGCTTTCTACCCTAATATTCCTATCCAGAAATGTCTCGATGTGGTTACTCACTTGTACGGAGAATATTACGGTAGTGAACTTAGCGACGAAGATAAGATGCGTCGTGAACTTATCTTCATTAAATGTCTATCTGTCGGTAACAAAAATCTGGTTCTGCAGTACAACGACAAGTTCTTCGAACAACGTAACAGCCTAGCAATGGGTGTCGCCGATTCGCCCGATCTTGCCAACCTTTATGGTTGGTATTTCGAGCGACAATTAGAACTGACTGCCGCTGTACCTTTCTACGGAAGGTACATCGACGACTGTCTGGCTATCGTCTACGCGTCTTCTGAAGCAGAGGCGTTGTCTTTGATGGATACGGTACGCTTTGACGGCTGCAGAATAGAATGGGAAGCGAGTCCCTCTCATCACGAATTCCTGGACATGATGATTTACATCGATGCTAATAACACGGTGCAACACATGCCTTACCGGAAAGCTCGCTCCCATCAGGAAAGAGTTCCATGGATATCTTACCATCCGCTTGACGTTAAACGCGGAACTTTTATTGGTGAAATGTCCAGGTTAGCAACGTTAAGTAGCAAACATGAGCACTACAAAGATGCTATACGTTCACTTTGTGGACTGTACATCGCACGTGGCTATCCTGCCGAATATGTGTATAAATGGACGAGAGAAAATATCACAACACGATGGTCTAATCGTTTGAGTGTAGCAACTCAGAGGGGAGATGACAGCGGTGTGTTAGTGCTCAAGTCCACATATAATTCAGCGTGGAATTATTTCAAAGCGAGAGAGCTCGGAGATATCATCCTGGGTACCTGGCGCGATCGAGTCGAAAGAATCGAGCGCTTGGGCACTGCGCCCAATAATATGTCGGTGTTGTATGGAGACATCTCACCGGAGGAGGTAGACAATCGTCTGTTGATGGCTGTCGAAACCCCGGCAGGCCCTGTGGGCATGCTGGATATCAGAACAATAGGTATTCTTAATCGCCGAACGATAGTTAGTAAAAAACGTACTAAAAATCTGTTCGATATGACCAGTCTTTGGAAAAAGATGGTTCTCCGAAAGTACGACGAAGATGCTTTATCCTCGGATCAAAACGTACCGCCTTCGGATTCGTCTGCTGCTGGCGACGATTCAGACCGAAGTAGCGTTGATCCGCAGGTCTTCGTAGATATGGTTATGGGTACGTCATGATGCGACTCCGCTAGGCTTCGGTCGAAACGGCAGACTCGTGGACAGATAAAGTAAGACCAGGTATCTTGCCGGTCGGTCGCGAGTAGTTGGACTATTATAAAAATCCGCCTGGGGTAGTAGTTAAATCAAGTCGGGTAAGTGCTCGCTTAAAATAACCATCGTACAACTCATTCGCTATATAAAATTGAAAAAGACTCCTTTATTAGGAACGTACATAAACGTGCCAAGCTCGACACGGATGGCAGGTAGTCTGCCAGCGGACTAACCCTAACCCTAAGTACGTTCTGGCAACTTAATCGTTGTCGCAGTCACGCATTAATGAATTATACTAATAATGCTTACTCAGCCCGAAACCCTAACCGGAACCCGAACATTAACCCGGACCTAACCGTCCGTCACGTGTAAGTTCGGCCGACCGGACCGGCGAAAAGCCGGCTAGGTTCTCG